TTCTGCAATCAGTGAATAGTTCCAGACAAGTTCTGCTAGTAAAACACTGGTCTTAGTATTCTGAGGGTGCCTTACCAAAAAAAAGTCCAATCAAAACTGCCTTCCAAGGGGTTTATTGGGCTAATTCATCTGAAGGCAGAGAGGTCAGCCAAGACAGTTATGATAACTGTTCTTCAGGACTTCAGAAGATATCATCTTGGTAGATTTTCTTGAAAGACACAGGATGATCACTTGGACTTGTCATGAAGAAGTGTTAAGAAAATTGCAACCCCCCCAAAAAGAAGAAATTGCTAGGAAAAGTTTGGGGGGAAATCACAATGATCCACATATAACTCCCTCCCTGGGGGACGGACAACAGAAAAGTGGGTGAGATAGTTTATTGTGCCAGCCTGGCTGATGAACGCAGGTGGGATTGACTGAGGGGTGGAGAGATGGATGGCTTGGTGAGCCTTGCCTTTCTTGTCTCTCGCTCTGCGATCATCGGACCAGTGTGCAGCTGCCTTGCTTGTCCTGCGCCTCAATTTACAGGCTACACTGCCTGTGGGACGCCTAGCCTGTGGACTGTGTCGCTGTAAGTTGAGGTCCCTTTAAGACTTCTCTGGAGCTGGGGACTGGCGGTTGGTGACCTGCTTTGTGATTGGCTGCTGTGCTGACATAGCCTAGCTCTCTCTACAAATAGAGGAAGATCTGGCATCAGACAGAGACTTCAAGGACTGCTAGTCTCTCAACTTTCTCTCAGGGACGTGAGTTGCACTAAGCCATTTGTAGTGCTTTCTAATTTAACTGTTTATTTCTTGTATTATATATTTATCTGTATATGATTTAATAGTTCATTTCTCGTTATATATCTAATTATCTTTATAAATAAATATATTAAATTATCAGGAATTTGATTTTATCTCCGTAGAGAACCCTGTCTAACACAGTGGGTAAAGGGACACATTGGTCAGTGTAAGACATGAAAAAATAATAAAAATTATCAAGGGTTCATGAGGGAGAGAAGGTAGGGGAGAGAGGGGCAAATGAGCTGATACCACGGGCTCAAGTAGAAAGAAAATATTTTGAGAATGATGATGGCAACATATGTACAAATGTGCTTGACACAATGGATGGATGGATGGATTGTGATGAGTTGTACGAGCCCCCAATAAAATGATTTTTTTAAAAAGAAAGAAAATTGCATAGGTATGGAAAAGGCCAGAAACGTTTGTTGTTGGCCATCACAACAATCCACCTACTCCTTCTTCTTCTCAGAGTAGCAAGTGCTGTCTTGCAGAGTCGCACTGGGGAAGCTCACCTTATGCATCCTGTAGCCCTGACCTCTTCCCTTCAGATTGCCTTTGTTTACCAAACTCAAATAACCTTGAAAGGGAAGACCGCGTGTGTCCCCGCACATGCAAAGCAGCCTTTTTGACATGGTGTAAATTAAGAGTGCAGAATTTTTCTGGGAGGGTTAAAGGTGGAAACAGCTCCACCATCAGAAATATAAATAGCTAGATGGGTGTGTCAGAAAATAGTAGCTTCACACTTGAATGTTTTTCTCTCGTAAAGGTTTCCAGGGTTTATAGCAATACTTTCTGACCTCCCCTCTTCCTTTGGCCCTTTTGGTAAGATTCAGGTGTGTCAATGATGGCATATGGTTATGGTCTTGCAAAACTGATCTCTGCCACTCAGTGTAGGTCCGGAGCACTTCCATCACTTGATTGTTTCTTTCTAATGCTTCTGTGAACTGCTGGATGATCAGTATTTTGGTTGATTGTCAGTATAGACAGATAATCAGTATCTGTTTGTTGCATTTCCACAAAATTAAAAAATGTCTCTTAACTTTTCGAACTGCCCTGTACTACTGAGTAGTAGAGATCAGTGCCTGTCTTTACATTTATTTCTCAAATCCTGGAGGGAAGTCCTGTAATTTCATGTTATCCTAAATAACCAGCACAGACACCCCCTCTAGTGTTTCTCTAGTTAGTGGCGTGTTTTCAGCTTCTCTTTACATTTTGTGTCTGGTCTTCAGCAGTATGTTCTAAGATAGCTAGACTCTGAGTGCATAACAATTACATTCATTCCAGATGACACTTACTGCAACAGCACATGTGTCCCAACATGTAACCGAAAGGCATTTTAATACTTGATCATTCCCTAAACATGTGGAGAAAACTGACCACCAGTGAGCAGAGTAAGCTAAAAAAAAAGGTGTTTCTACTGAACAGTAGAAAAAGCAGTGAACTGTACTCTGGCTAAACCATGCTGTCATTTACTGGATTCTGACTCATCACGCCCTTATATACGTAGTTTCCTACTCTAAATCTCTATGGGAGCAGACAGCTTCATTTCCAACCTCAGACCTGTGTGTGTGTGGGGGGGGTTTGAACCACTGACTTTGCATTTAATAGTCCAACAGCACTACCAGAGCCTCTTTACCCAGAAGTTAGGACTCATTAATGGAGATGATTTAGTATTTACAATGGCTATGTAAGAAGATTAAGGATGTCTGTATATATATTTAAAGTATTATTCAAGTATTCATTACTTCTAGTTTATATGTGATTTCACATACATATATAATTACAGAGACCAATATACAAACAGGATCTTCAAAAAGTTCATGGAAAATGGAATTGAGAGATGGGTTTTTTCCATCAACTTTTTGAAGCGTGTGTGTGTGTGTGTGTGTGTGTGTGTGTGTGTGTGTACGTGCGTGTGTGATACAGTAGAGGCTTTGAGAAATGTAGAAACCTGCCACCTGATTTCTTACATTAATCAAAAGAATCCCCCACCCCCCACAGAATAAACTTGCACAAAGCATGCTGTGGGAAGCACTTACTGTAACATTTGGTTCACTTCTCCAGACAATTTTCATGTTACACATAATTATTGGTCTGGATATAATCAGCATGACAAAGATACACTTGTGATGTTAATCCACATAACCAAAATGTACACGTTGGTTGACTATTCCATGCCTTAAGAATATTTTGACCTGCATATGCATTCTTAGCTTCATTCGTCTCCCTGAGTTGTTTGTCCATATGTGCAAGTCCATATTTCCTATGATATTGGTTGTAAGTTAGCAAGAATTGCTTTAGAAGTAATCTTTTATATCTATTCAGCAGTTATTCTCATAAGCTAATAAAACCATACAAAAGGTACCTTATCGGAAGCTCCTGGTTTTTTTGGAGTGAAACCTGTTTAATAAAGCAATCTTTCTTCTTGCCGAATCATAAGTGTACAGGCAGCTGCAGTCAGCTGACAGCTTGTGGTTATGCTCTGATTTACAGGGGGGGAGGAGGTTGTACGATTTTAAATGCATGATAGAGCGTGCGTTTCGTCAGCTGGAAGCCGACATGGGAGACACTCAGGAGACCTGAGAGGCATCAGTGCTGCTCTGGCGGAAGGAGAGCTTGGTAGCACGTTACCAGACAGCCGTGCATTTGGAAGGAAATAGCTGTTAGAGATGCACGTCACCAAGTGCATTTTGCTCTCAAGAGCGGTAGACAAATGAAGTGAGAAGTCGAGAAAATCTTGAGGGAAAGATGCTCAGAAGGATGCCGAAGTGATTCTTCATGCATCACTGCCCTTCGCCTCTCTTGGTACCTTCCAGAGAAACCAGTGTAGTGTGCTGTTAGCGTGCTGTTTCCAGCACCAGTATGCCATGATTCTGTGTTTGTATCAGTAAGCAGCTTCTACTGTGTTTTCCTATTTTCTGCTAGCTACAGTTTACAAAGGATGCCACAGCACTGGTAAGAAGCGCACAGGAGCCATTGCCTTGCCTCTTTAAGCCCTGTTTTGTAGAAATTTGCAATATGGCAACGTATTAAAAACCCTCAGTTTGCTTAGAGCGATCCCTTCATGATGTTAACCTTACTAATTTGCAGAATGTGTTTGTGTTTGATATATGGTTTCCTTTCACCTTTTCCTGTTTGGTTTCCTCTGCTCGCTGTTTTAAAGCCTCATATTTCTTGGCATCAGCATTTTTCAAAGTATCTTGCACACTTGCTTTGCCTTGTACCATGCTGTTCAGTTTGTGGCTGCACTGGAGCTTTGCAAGCTGTCTCATGCAAAGACCGGACGAGGGGGGAGTCTTGAATTAAAGCTGGTTTTGATTCGGGGAGGGTATGTAACATGACACCACACCCAACTGCCTCACCTCTGTTGCATTGATTAGCTCCGTATTGTGGCGTCTCCATTTAAATTCAGTTTTTTGTTACAATTTTTCAAAGTCCGGCTAGATAATTTCAGAAATAGCTGATGCCTGCATGCATGCCTGTTAGCAATTGAGAAATGTTTCCTTATCATAGCTAAGGGAGATCGAATAAATTAAAGCAATGTAATTTGCATTAGCTTACTATGAAAAAATATAAGTTGCACACAAAAAGCTGTAGTCCTTGTTTTTTATCTTATCTATGCTTAATTGCGTATGTATGTCTGTTCTTCTCTTACTTGAAATATGAAATATTAAGCATGCCTGTTGAATTGCTTCATTCATCAAAATGGATTGTTTTTAGGGGCTCAGTAGTATTTGAGAAGACACCGTCCAATAAATTATAGTTCACCTATGATGGTTGTAGGGCTTACAGTCAAAATGTGTTTGACTGAGATGTTTGATCTTCTCGCCTTCTCTGGGATATATTAGGCAGCCATTTAACCCGTCGACTGCTGAAGAGCCCCTTGTTATCTCATAAAGCTTGAATGGAGAGAATTTTAGAAGCAGCATGGCGCTACCTAATCGTTTGGGAACAATTCTGACAGGTCTTAGGTCTTTTGAGAAACCAGACAGTTTTAATTTACATTGACTGCAGAGTTTACCGTGTTTGCTTTCTGGGAGACTAGCTCTTTTCCAAAACGGTGGCACTACCTTTGTGTTGTGCTTGCATGCACACTGTCATTCACTTCCTTCAGGAACAAGGGAGGGCGTTGGAAAGTCAAACAGGACTGTTGTGGACATTTGTCTTTTCTTTTGCAGAATCTTAAAGTAACATCTTCTTTCCCTTCCCACACAGGCTTATTCTCAAGATGCCTACCTGAAAGGCAACGTAGCCTTCAGTGGCAATGCCCGCAATATTCCTGAGCCTCCACCCATCTGCTACACCTGGTTAACACCAGCCTCTCCAGCCATGGCACAACCCGTTGAAATATCCCCTCCAGACTCTTCGTTGAACAAACAGCAAACCAGTACCCCAGTACTGACGCAACCCGGCCGGGCCTATAGAATGGAAATACCAGTGCCTCCATCCCCCACAGAGGTTGCCAAGTCGAACACAGCGGTGTGTGTTTGCAATGAGAGTGTGAGGACCGTCCTTGTGCCTTCTGAGAAGGTTGTAGATGTGTTATCCACTAGAAACAACCACACTGCCCCTTCACATAGAACTGAAGAAGTGAGGTATGGCATCAATGAACACACCTCTTTAAAGCCACTGTCCCGAACTACATCACCATCATCATCATCCTCAGTTCCCGCCGCTCACCTGATCCTTCCCACCGCAGGCTCTAGGTCACTGGAGCCTTCCGGAATTTTACTGAAATCTGGAAATTACAGTGGGCACTCAGAAGGCATCTCAGGCAATAGACCTCAACTGGCGGAGGTTCCTCCTGTGCCCGTTAACCACTACTCTCCAAATTCCCATCAGCACATAGACTGGAAAAACTATAAAACCTACAAAGAGTATATTGACAACAGGCGATTGCACATTGGTTGTCGGACCATTCAAGAGAGATTAGACAGTCTGAGAGCTGCCTCCCAGAGCACGGCAGATTATAACCAGGTGGTCCCCCATCGCATGGCTCTGCAGGTACGACGGAGGAGCACCTCTCACGACCGAGGGCCCCAGCCTGTTCAGGTCCGGCAGCGCAGTGTGTCCCAGGAGAGACTGGAGGATGCTGTGCTGATGAAGTGCTGTCCTCGAAGCGCATCTCAAGGCGCACTGACGTCGCCACCTGTTAGCTTTAGTACCCATAGGACTCGTTCGTGGGACTATATTGACGGACAGGGTGAAGCTGGGGAGAACGTCCATTCTGGAAGTCAAACCCCTGATTCCAATGGAGAGCGAAAACAGACCTACAAATGGAGTGGGTTTACCGAACAGGATGACAGACGGGGCATTTGTGAAAGACCCCGGCAACAAGAAATCCATAAATCCTTCCGAGGTTCAAGTTTCACCGTGGCTCCCAGTATGGTTCATTCCGACAGCCGGCGCATAGGTGGCCGGGGAATGGGCTCCGCATCTCAGTTAAAAAAAATCCCACCGGATCTCAAAGCACTGCAGTCCAGCAGAAATTTCCAAACTTCTTGTGGAATGCCACTGCCCCGAGGTGTTGCACAAGACAAGTCGCCTCTTGTGAAAGTTCGGAGCAATTCTCTGAAAGCACCTTCCTCTTTTGTCCCCAAACCATCATTCAGCTCCAACTCGTTTGTTTCTATCAAAGACCAAAGACCGGTAAATCACCTGCATCAAAACAGTCTATTAAATCAGCAGACCTTGTTAAGGACGGAAAGCACCCCAGATCACCCAGTGGAGACGGCGAAGCCCCCCTCCCTGTCTGGGGCCTCAGCTAAGCTGCTCCCTCTGACAAGTGAAACCTCTGGCTCTTCAGATTTTGAATTATCTGTCGTGCGAAGGAACCAAGATTTAAATTTACCAGAGGCTGAAATCCCGCAGTCGAGTGTTTTAGATAATAAAGAAACTGTTGTCCTAAGGGAAAAACCTCCATCTGGTCGCCAAACACCACAGCCCTTAAGACATCAGTCGTACATCTTGGCAGTCAATGACCAAGACACCGGGTCGGACACCACCTGCTGGCTGCCCAACGACGCCCGCCGAGAGGTGCACATCAAACGGATGGAGGAACGGAAGGCCTCAGCCAGCAGCCCACCCAGCGACTCCTTGGCTTCCATCCCATTCATAGGTGAGCGCCTTTGTGTCCGTGCTGTTCACCACGGGCGCCTGTTTAAGGAGTCTTCTCAGAAAAGGATGGCGTGTGCAGTCACGTGTCACTTTGACACCCACAATGTGTTCAGTGAAATACAGCGGTCGATTTGGATGTTGTGTGAACACTGTATTTCTCGGGGGCTTCAGAAAGTTCACAGGCAAATGGAGTTAAAAGATAACGGGGGATTTTTTTTTTTCACACAAGCTATTTGAAGCCTCATAGATACAGTAAGTCCCTGGATTACTATTGGGTTCCATTCCTACATCTGTCTTTAATTCGAATTTAAGCCGGAGCATGCAGGTATGTATGGTTGGTATCTACTGTCAGATAGTCAAATGTTTCGTATATTGTATATTGTGTGCCTTCCCATACCTGAAAAAACGTTAAAGAAGCACTTCCAGATACACTGTAGAACATCTTTAACACAATACTATTGTCATATCCATAATAGTGTTTTGATGTGTGTTTCAAAGCAGTGCCTGGTTTTGAGTCTGTTGACATAAATTTATGCCAAACGACATTGTCTACAGTTGCTGATTCACCGGAATCAGAAATCAAGTGGAGCAAGTTTGGATAACTGTCTGTCACTTACACAGTGCCCTCTGCTTCCTAAAGCTTGTTTCTTTGTGAATTTAACCTGGGCTTAAAGAAAAGACATCTTCCAATGTCTTAGAATAAATCTCTGAATCAATATGGAAGTTACTTGATTTCTGATAGTACCCCCCACATGGTCTGTTCCCACACAGCCCAAGTGCATGCTCTACACAGTGGGGCATTTTTAAAATGCGAATCGCCTTACCATCACTATTCTAATCGGAACTCTCTGTTCAGTTCCCATCTCACCCTGTCGTGGCCTGCCATGGTCCATATCCCCCCGGGCTCCCTCCGCTCCCATCTTCAGTCATCATTTTCCTTGTGCTGCCCCTCCTTCAGCCACACTGCCTCCTTGCTTTCCCGGAAGAACAAGCTAGTACACTCCTCACTGGCCTGTTCCTGTCCCCAAAACACATTCCACAGATATTTTCACAAGGTTGCCTCCCTGCCTCCATATCGGTCTTTGCTCAAATGTCACTGCCTCAGAGCAGCCTGTCCAGACTGACCCATCTAAAAGGGGCAGCCCCCCACACCACACATACGCACCCCAACAGTCTCTAGTCCCGCCTGCCGCTTTGCTTCGTTCGTTGTTCCTACTTGTCATCTCTTGAATATTTTGTTATTGCTTCTCTGCGGAGCTATAACCTATAACCTAACATGTGAGAGCCAGGAGCTTAGATCTCTGGTTCACTTTATGGCCTTCATGCCCAGAACACCGGCTGGCATATACAAAGAAGACATGCAATAAACGTTTGTTGCAACGGGAATGCATAACCTTTGAGGGGGCGGCTAAATGTTTGGTTTCCAAAAGGAAATTCAACAAACATGTTTTCCTCATAATTACCCTGCAGCTTTGAGACACACTCTTTTAGGTAGACCATGATATACATTCTTAGTATTATCCTCATGTTGTTGATGAGAAATTTAAAGAATGTTGTCCTTCACGGCTATAGAGTTGGTCAGCGGTGACCCCTTGCTCAATGGGATCAAAGTGTTGTGATCCATCGAGAGATGACATGATTTTCAGAATGTCACAAGGAAGTAAATGGCAGGCACCGTGACTAAGTGTCAGAGACAGGGAGTCTAGGTCTCCAGAGGCACCATGTACGTTGGACACATTGTGAAGAGTGCCCTGGAGTTGTGCCATGCGCCAGCCTTGCTCTGATACCAAGACCTCTGCTCTTCTTTTCCTGTGGTACCCCGTAACTTGATGGAAAGGCTCCAACATACTTTGAATAATGTAATCTGCCTGTACTTTTGAATAATATGAAACTTATGTTATTAAGTTATTGGAATTGTCTGTTGAGACTCTTTCAAAATCATTTGTTTTTTAAGTTCCATGTAGTGCTTATCTGTTTTATATATCTTATCTATATATATAATATGTTCAAGTTGTGAACATCGTGGGGAATCCTAAATTGTACTCTAGCTCATCTGTACTCATAAGGCCAGAGAATTAGAGAATGTTCACTATAAAAAGAATCTCGTACGTCACCCAGATATTTTAAAGAAAATAACTGAGAACAAATGATTCCTATATGACTATTATATACAGTCCTACAATCCGTAACTGTAGATGTGTGAGATCCTATCAGAATAATAGCATAACATTTGCTTCCTATTTAACTATATAATTGGATTACACTGGCGTAATCTTAAAATGTACTGGTTTTATATGTTAATGTTTCTTACTAGTTAATAGGAAGTACAGAATTAAGCCACTGAGTCAGTTACAGCTTTTAAAAGAGAAGGCTTTGGTTAAAATATAAAATAAAAGTTTATATAATACTGTATGTAATGATTTAGAAAATTATTAGAATAACCATTTTACTTGTTTTTTAAGAAAAGTGCTCGCTGATTAGTTCTGATCAGACTCTTAAGTTCTTATCAGAATTTCCTTCGTAGCTTTTGTTTTGTGAAGCATGGCTTTTAAAAAGTTACCCACCATAGAAATATCTTCAGAGTCCCAGAGCCCTAGTAGTGCAGTGGATTAAGCACTGACCTGCTAATGACAAGGTTGCTAGTTCGAGCCCACCAGCTGCTCTATAGGAGCAAAACGAGAACCCCTGTAGAGCAGTTCCTTTCTCCCCCATAGGCTCCTCTGAGGTGGCAGTGAGCTCGGTTTTTTGGTGGGTTTTGGTTTTTTGGTTTTTTTCGTTATTTCACTAGAGCCCTGCCACGTATCATTTGACTACTATGGAATATCATAGAGCCAGCACTAAGGAAGTATGATGTAATAAGGAGTTGAGGTACTCACACAGTTTTTAAGCGTGTTACTGTGTTGTCCCTGGAAGTCATAGACGTTGCTGAGCCCTGAGGGAGGACAGCACCGTGCTGCCCAAGATTGACAGCTTTCCATGGCTTCTGTTTTAAAAAGAAGAAGAATGTCTTGGGCATCATACTTGAGGAAAAGAAGCTAGCATTTATATGGTTTTTCAAGCATAGCACTCAAAGTATACTTTGTTTACTCTGGCTTTCCTGTAAAAAGCTTTCAGTTCTTTAACGGAAAAGCTTTTACCATAACCCTTTGGTCTAAAAGATGCTCTGGAGATGTTAAAAATATAAACACCTGATCAATAAAAGAACTTTAAGTATTTCATTAAGCATAATCCTTAAGTTCCAAAAAGTAGTATTGAAATCCTACTTTTGGCAAGCTTTCCATTTTTATCTGACCTATAGATGTATCTCTGTTCACTTAGTTGTTTAAAACGCATACTTTTGAGAGCACAACAGCTTTGTAATGGAGTAAAGAGGTGATTTGCAAGATTTCCCTAGGTTTTGACCAAGATGTCCAATTCTTTTAGGTCACAAGTATTATTAAGGGAGGGGGAAGAAGAGAAATGCTGAGCTTATTAAATAGTTAGACAAGTTTTCCTTGTCCTTCCCCAAGACTTCCACTTCTTAGAATCACCAATGTAATACTAAATATTGTGGGGTTTCTGCCCAGGATTGAATATTATTTTTCCCCCAAGTATTTGAATATGAGGCCTTATTTAGAGCAGTGATTCACAACCTTCCCAATGCCCTGACCCTTTAATGCAGTCCCTCATGTTGTGGTGACCCCCCAACCATAAAATTAGTTTCATGGCTACTTCCTAACTGTAACTTTGCTACTGTGATGAATCGGCGGCCCCTGTGAAAGGGTCGCTCGACTCCCAAAGGGGTTGCAACCCACAGGTTGAGAACCATCTATTTTGAGTGTCTCGTGGATTTAATATATCATTAACACCTTGAAAAATGTTGATCTATAATTAATGGAATATTTATTTAAAAGAACAAAATTAAGGTTTATTTTTATATCAACACATGCAAACATTTTATGCTATGTGATTATAATAATTAGTTTTATTGTTTTAAAGTTGTATAGGCCAATGCAAAATGCAACAATTAAGTTCCTTAGCGTTATTCCCCAAGTCTGTTAATTTTCTGGTGGCACTGTGGATGAGGTGTTGGACAGCTAACTGTAAGATTGGCAATTCAAGCCTACCAGCCGTTTCGTTAGAGAACAATGAGGGAGGCTATCTGTTACTGCTAAGATTTACAGACTTGGAAGTACTGCCTGTGTTAGCAGTCCAGGTAGACTAGAGAAGCAAATCCAGTGAGACTCGTGTGTAAGAAAGAGCTTTATATATAAAAGAGCAATTGTATACTGAGAAAACATCCAAACCCAGTTCAGATCAAGTCCCTAAGTCCGATATTAGACCATATGTCCAATACCAGTCTATAAATTCCTCTTTAGACTCACAGACACATGCAATGACGATGAATGCAGGAAGATCACAGGCCAGTGGGTAGAAAGTCTTGTTTATCCAGTGGTGGAAGCATCTCAGCGCTGACGTGGGTCTCCAAGTGGTTCCTCCAGCTCCAGGGCTCTGGTTCTATCAGCGTAGCTCCATGTGTTTTGTCAACAGGAATGTGTAGCAGAGAGTGTTTCTGGCATCCATTGAGCTATTTTATCTCCTTGGCGCCTCCAAATGAGGTCATCAAACTGCGACCTGATTGACAGGCTAAACTCTACACCTTCATTCTTAATAGTCGCGAGTTGACATCAGAGTACAGAACTACCACACTGCCTAAGGTCGCTATTTGCCAGAATTGGCTCAAGGCTATGGTTTGGAAACACCACTGACACGTCTTATAGGAAGAAAATATTCCTACATTTATGGATACATTTAATACCTAAAATTTCTCCCAAGTCACAAAGATTTAGAAAAATGAAGACCATAAGCCATTTTATTTGCTTTTAAATTAGGAATAGTGGTTACCAAGAGTATTTTACTTATTCTCTCACATAATAATGTTTATAAAATTTAAGTATTGTAAACCTTTTAAATTGAGGAACAAACACAAAACATAAGATGACCGACTGCTCATAAGTGATG